ATTAATTTCACTTAAAAAAGTTAAATAAAAGATATATTAATATATATATATATATTAATAATTAGTTGTATTAAAAAAATTATATATATATTTATTAAAAGATATATATATATATTAATAATTAGTTGTATTAAAAAAATTATATATATATTTATTAAAAGATATATATATATATATATATATATAAATATAGTTAAAGAATATATTAAAAAATATATATGTAATTTGTTAGCAAAAAAAATATTTACTAATTATTATTTTATATTTTTTATTCAGGGTGTTAGTAGACCTAAACAATCTGTCAGAGATGACGACAATATTATGAAGGTTCTGGTCCCCGACACACTAGAAGTCGGGGTGTAGATGCGTCCGTTCGTCGGGAGAGCAACAGACAGACGATGATCGATCAGGCTCGGAGGATAGATGCGTCCGTTCGGGAGAGAGACAGACAGACGATACTCCTCAACTACAATATAATTTTTATTGGTTGTTAGATATTCTAAACCTAGTATTTTTTTTTTTACATTAGATATATTATAGATTTTTTAACTTGGGTTTGTCCATATCATTATGGATTTAACTCTTAAGTCAATTTATTTATCACATATGAGACCATTGTGGGTGCAGGGACCCAATAGCGCGTGATATTTTTCTCTCGACAGGCTATTACTCTTAATTCCGCAGCCAATCACGTTCCAATATCTCCCGATAGGATTAAAAAAACTTCAATGACTCCGAAAATGGAGATAGAGTCAACTCCCATGGATTCTCTACGCCACCAACATATCTCATATGCACCTCATCGCCTATGTGAAAACTCACCATCCCAAAGCCTTCTCCGCCTTGAAGAACCTCCGCTCCTTCGCGCTCTCAGCCATGGAGAAAATCGCCACCGGAAACGACAAAGACGGCTCCTCTGCCGCCGCCGACCTCCAGCCACCGTTCGATCCGTCCGCGCCTGCGGTCCCGATCTCGTACCCACTCCGGACACTGGAGGAATTGGAGGCGCGCGCCTACTTCAAGTCGTTTCACTACCCGTTCAACCGGGCTGCGGTGGAGCCGCAGGCCGCCGCCGCCGCCGGCTTGCCCCGGAGACCTCGGATCCTGGTTTGCCATGACATGGCTGGGGGGTATGCGGACGACCGGTATGTGCAGGGCGGGACTAATACCGATGCGTATGCGATTTGGCATTGGTATATGATTGATGTTTTTGTGTACTTCTCGCATAGTTTGGTGACCCTGCCGCCGCCTTGCTGGGTTAATACTGCTCATAGGCATGGTGTGAAGGTATGTGTGTGTATCGTTGAGCTGTTTGGTTTGAAATTGTAATGCTTTTTCCCGTCTTACATTTCTGTGGTTGCTCATAATATAATATGGCTATTGTGTTTTGCCAATGTTTATGTTTTCGATTAATTATTGCTGTTTCAACTGTTGTGACAATGATGATGGTTATAATTTGTAGAAGGTGCATTACTAGAGTTGCTGTGACTCACTAAGTTAGTGTGGTTGTGTTGATGGATATGATTGTGTTGAACTGGACTTTGCTTTATATATGAATACTCTGAATTATGCTTATTGATCATGTAAGAGGTTTTTGATTGTACATGTACTAATCTAAGGTATTGGGAACCTTCATCATGGAGTGGGATGAAGGGAAAAAACTTGCTGATAAGCTGCTATTGACAAAGGATTCTGCTCAAATGTATGCTGAGCGATTGACAGAACTGGCTGTGGTTCTAGGCTTTGATGGTTGGCTGGTAAGCTTATTTATTTTCCATACCTGATAGTCTTCGGGACATATATGTATTGACTGTTGATATCCTTCATTCGTTATTTTAATAATTTGATTGTGCCATGTGCTGCACTCCAGCATTGCTTCCTTATTGCCACAAGTGATCATCCATTTCTGTCATGTAGTTCTCTTCCAGAATTTTAAACATCAACTTCACAATTTTCTTTAAGACAACTAAATAAAAGTACTTGTTGGTGCTTTGTTATTGATAGTGTGGCACTAGTACATACAATTTCCAGAAATATTGACTCTACAGCCCTTTTTATGGCAGATCAATATGGAAGTTACTCTGGATCCTGAACAAATACCAAGTCTGGAAGAATTTGTCAGCCACTTGAGCAAGACCATGCACTCTTCGCTACCTGGGTCATTAGTTATATGGTAGTTACCGTACTTTATATATATATGACCTGAGCTTTGTATTTGCCAAATCTGACATTTATTACCTCTATTTCACTATTTAGGTATGACAGTGTTACTCGTGATGGTGATCTTAGCTGGCAGAATCAATTAAATGACAAGAACAAGCCATTCTTTGACTTGTGTGATGGAATTTTTGTGAACTATACATGGGAGGTACTTACTTTCTTTATAGTTTGCAATATATAATGATATGTACGTGTTCTGTTGAGACTTTACTTTTGAATGACACAGGAAAATTTTCCCAAGCTATCAGCTGATGTTGCTGGTGACAGAAAGTTCGACGTCTACATGGGCATTGATGTCTTTGGAAGGAACACTTATGGTGGCGGTCAATGGACTGTAGGTTTCACAATACATGTTTTGCTCATGAGTTGAATATTTTTGTATATTCTGGTCGGCTACTCCTCCCATAACCAATTGGTTTTGGGATGGAACCTCACTTAGGTGGCACCTAGGCTCACCCTCTAATGGTGTGCTTCACCACCATGGTACCACACCCTTCCTCCGATTATATAAATCAAATATTCCCATTTGTCCTGGGTGAAAAGAATACATCTTGTTAGTTTATTTTAAGATTGAAATTAACAGAAAGCAGATCTATGAATTTGGCCGGGATGAGATTGGCAATAGCTCTCTATCCTAAACCTGAACATGGCATTTTACACTAGTTGAGAAAGAACCTATATCTGAATCTCTGACACTCATACTTCTAAATCAACTTAGTAAATCTTTACAAAAATCACAACTTCCACAAGTAACGGAAAATAGATAATATGCAGAGAAATCTCTCACTATCAAATTCGGGTGTTCGAGATAGTTTATAAGTTTTATGTTTATACATGTGACTTGTGAGTAAACCCTCAAATTTTTTGGCAGACTAATGTGGCCCTTGACGTGATAAAGAAAAGTGATGTTTCAGCTGCCATATTTGCACCTGGATGGGTCTATGAGACTAAGCAGCCACCTGACTTTCGAACTGCTCAAAATCGGTAATGCTCATGCACTTTCGTATCTATTCGTTGGTTCAGGTTTTGTTTTTTCTAGTGTTTATGTTATGAAAGTTCTGTTGACGCCACTTTGTGGAAGAAGATGCAACACCATTTCTCATCATTTATCCCTGCCATGATGGATGTGGCAAAATTTCCTGAAGTACTATTCTGGTTTTTCCACATGAGATGATATTGGAGTTTTTCTGATTCTTTTGATCTATCAAGCTGTCTTATTTGCTGGATGCTGCAAAATATTGTTTTTCTAGTCCTATTCAATGACTTCTTCTCAAAATATGCTTTATTCGTAACAAATGTATGTTTCAATAATCTGATCTTCATGGTTGTTATGTGATCATAAGTGCATCTCTATGCTGGCATGCCTAGGTCTTTGTATCTCTCTATTTAGCTTCAGCTCTAGGTTCATAATATTCAATAATTTTCTTTCATTAAATAAACAGATGGTGGGGACTTGTTGAAGAATCATGGGGAACTGTTCAAAACTACCCCAAAGTACTTCCATTCTACTCGAATTTTGATCAGGTATCGACCATGTTAGTTGTACAGCTTTTTTTACCTTTGTATTTGATGTTTATGTTTTGAATTTTTATTTTTTATATAGTTTAAGATTATATTTGTGAAATGAAAGCCAATATATCTGTAACTTTGGGGTATAAATTGGACACTGTAATCCGGCTTCCTTTGCTATGAAGTGAAAATATTAGTTGATTTCTGGGGTATATATTGTAGTGTGGCAAATAAATTGATAACAACAATAGTTTCATTTTAATACTAATACTAAACCTATAAAAGTCTCTCGCAAAATGGAAAAAGAATGCAATTTCAGTTTGTTGTCCAGTTGGGGTTTTCATGATGAGCACTAAAAATTTGATATTTGTTCTCTTTTTAACTTTAATTTTTATACAAACAATACATAATTCTTTCAGGGTCATGGTTACCACATATATATTGATGGAAAGCAAGTTTCAGACACTCCGTGGAACAACATTTCTTCCCAAAGCTTTCAGGTATGCCTCCCATATACATTATTGATTCTTTTTTCCCACCGTCATACATTTAATATAGAAATAGAGAGTGAAAAATACTTGTGTGCCTGGAACTCCATGCCTCTGTAAAGTTCTATACGTGGATCACTGTTCGCCAAGTATTCCATCTACAGTCCTAACATTCTATTTGGGATTACATATGACATGCCATTTGGGTTAACTATGCATCTCATCCGCTGATCATTGTAAAGCAGGCAATCATCGTAGAATTAAGAATTCGGTACATTGCATTCTGATTTTTTCGCAGTAGAGTGAAAAATTGGACTTTTCAGAGGAATAGAGAATCTCCATGTTGATATTTTTTCCACTGCACTAATAGTGGAAATGGAAAATACTTGATCTGAACAGTGATTTATTCCTCTATTTCAACTGTAAGAGCCATTTTTTAAGCAGCTAAGATACTGTTGGAATTTGGTGTGGATAACATATCAACTTGATGGTCAATACTGGCGCCTCTTGTTTAATTCCATACTATAGTACTAATATGCATTTTTATGCAATGGTCTGTTGTTTTTAATATATTTCGTTTTGCATTATTTTCACTTATTTGTCCGTTCTCAAACTTGTCTTTGTTACAGCCTTTTATCGAATATACTGGAGACTCTACTACTCACCCAATCAAAGTGTCAGTTAAGTAAGTTGATTTATTTATTCGTATTGTTGTGTATTTATCGACGGCTTTCTTTGTTGCTTCGTCTACAATCCTTGGAACATGACTCAGCATATACCTATTGCAGCTTCAAGGAAGCATCTTACAGTGGAGGAGGAAACATCACATTTGCAGGAACTCTTGGTGTTGGTACTGAATTTACAGCAAGACTCTTTAAGGGAGATCTTCTTCTCAGAAATTCTCAAGTTAACTTTACATATTCAGTAAGTCTCTTACTCGTTAGTCAAATATGCTACACTAGTTATCAACTGGTCAACAATTTCCCAGTCGTTAAACTGTACTGAAACTTGCCAGAACTAAGCAGAACTGCCGATGTGGTTTAGTTAATTACTCAAAACCAATTATCTTACGATCCGTAAGTGTGGTAATTGTTTAGACTTTAAGGAAGTAACTGGTATTTTACTTAATCTGACTGAACCTTTATTCCCTTTAATGATTTAATTGTCCCTCAATAATGTGTACCGACAATTTTACAGTATGAACTTCTGCTAACTAAATGATTAATTTTTTAAGGTTTGCCTGAGATAACATAACGCCTCGTTTTTTAATTCATAATGGAAACAACTATTGTTTCAGGTTAAAGTAAGTGGGAACTCCCAATTAGGTCTTGTCCTTGAGTTTTATTCTGCTTCGCAAGAGAAAAAGTCGATATTTCTTGCTGCCTCGGGAAATACCTTGCTAACCATGAACCAATTCTCGAGTCGTTTTACTAATGTAATAATGCCACGTCGAGTGACCAAGCTGAAAGGAGAAGGAGAACCTTCATGGGTTATACAGGAAAGCAGCATCAACATGCGCGGACATGTATTAAAAGAAATCCGAGCCTTTTGCTACAAATCAATGCACGAACAATCTTTATCCGGTGAACCTTCAGATTACTCTGCAGTTCTTGGAGATGTTAAGATTACCAGTGGAGAACAACATTCAGAATTCCCGGCATCTAATTCATGGCTCGTTGATGGTGAATACATCAATTGGACTCCGAGTTCTCAAGGGTTTAGAAAACTTAGTGTCAAAATCATTTGGCGACTAAACGTTGGTAGTGAAGATCTTTTTCCCAAGTACAATGTTTATGTCGATAAAACCACAGGTTCAGCTGTAGAGTTTCTTGGTGTGGCGTTTGTGAAATCGTTCTATGCTTATGGCGTGGAAGTTCCAGAAGGGACTTCTAGCGTGAAATTCATTGTCCAAGCATGCGGTTTTGATGGGGCTGGCCAAAAGCTTGAAGATTGTCCCTTTTTACTACTTAAAGTCGAGGAGGGTTCGTAAATTTCGTCTGAGTCTTGTTATTCGATCATATATTTGTTGATTGCATTATGAGAAGAATGTGAACCATAATGTATGTTCTTGTCGATTGACATGAAATCAGATAGTATTATGAGAAGAATGTGGGCCATAAATTTAGTGCTATTAAGTTAAACGATTCTGGGTCGAGTTCGGCTTAGCTCTTGAGAACCCTAAGCTCGAGCTTGGCTTGGCTCGTTTACCGGCCTAGTTGGACATGAAATCAGATAGTATTGGGAGCTGGACACTTGATGAATCAATAAAAAGTTGGAAGCATTTTCCTGAAATACAAGTACATGTTGGCCATGAATTTGTTGACTTCACAATATTTCTCTATACGTTCTTTAGAATGGAGTTATATTCTTCATATTGATTATATTTACAAACTTAAACACATTCAAAATTAGCACGTCATGCAGATCACACGAAAGTACAGAAATATTTATGTATTGGGTAGTCTAAATGGCGAATGAATGATATTTTATTATTTGAGATGCAAGTTTCCTAGATAAATTTATAACTGCTATTTGTTCGAAGAATCAAGTAAAAATTAAGAAAACAAAACTTTTAAATATATACATTAGTGAGGTTACGTACTCGTATCAAATAATTATTGTATCTGATATCTTATTTTGCACTCTATATCTATACTATTATTATGTTGAGATTATTATACTGTAAACATCTTATTTTGCACTCGAAATCATATTATTATAGGGTTGGGACATAAACTTTTGGAAGCACATATAGTGGCCTCGAGCCCTCCAAAAGAAATTGGTTGTGTTCGTCTATTCTTCTGCCTTCAAAACTAAGGCTCCAAAATTCGAGGTTGATATATAAGACAGAAATGTAATTTTGACTTATTATCTCACTTTCCCATGATGTTATCATGGTAATCTTTCTAATTTCAACTCATTTTGACCCAATTTTGCTTTCTTTTGTCAAAAACACAAATCCCATAAATTCTTCAAGAAAGTTGCATCTTTTCAGATATCCGCAAATCTTGACCCACGAGAAATATTTTACCATCAAGTATTAATGTTGGGAAGTATCATTATAAATCTTCTCGAATATAAATTTATATTGAGTGTAAGAAATCTCAACAGGAGGAAGTTAGCAAAATATTTGTATGCGATAGAAAAATATGAATATTTTCAAAAGCAGTTCTGTAACTAAGTAGTTTTTATGTTGCAAAGTGTATTTATGTTGCTCAGTTGCTAAGTACTAAAAAATGTTGCCATAGCAAAATAGTATTCGGGAGAAAAATAGTAAAATATTTAAAACTAATTACGTAACTATATGGTGCATCAAAAGTATATATATTTNTAAAATTTAATTAACTTATAATTTCATCAGAGAACAATTTTGATGGGAAACGTTTGCATGAAGTGTCAATTATCAGCCTACAATTAAATTCCTAGACCTAAGTTGTAGTCCTCAAATTAATCAATTTCGGATAACAAAACTAGTATTAATTAGCTAAATATCAACTAAACCCCTTTTGATATACTCTATAATTATATACACTACTTTTAAGATTCTCACCTGACATTGGAGAGACGCACATATTCTTACGTATACTAATATCAAAAGATTTCCAGAACTCCCTTTATAAACCATGTAAATTAATAATGACATAGATTATTTAATTTGGTCATAATTAACTCATAAGCACTAAAGTCTTTGTTGGATTCCTTCCAGCCGTTTGCAAGGGTATTAGTCAAATGATCAAATAATAGTAAAATCCTTAGCAGAGTGTAAAAAGGTAGGTTGGATTTTTGAACTGTTTTATCAAAGCAAGTTAAGCACGTAAAATTAAGTATTCCTCATTTTAATTTTTTATAGTTACTGTTATTTAATTGCCTTCAGAATTTATGTCTACAATAATATTTTAGAGCACCGACCACCATCTGTTCATTGTTTTACGTTTACATGGTCGAACAAAGTAATGTTTACTAATTAAAATTAACTAATAATTTCGTGTAATTTATTAATGTTTTCCCACAGTTTCACATGCTAGGGTTGACTTATCATCTTACCTTCGTTTTCATATTAACTAGTATATCCCCGACAGTACTCTTTCTCACCTCTTTCAACTCTATAAGGGTTGAAACAACTTAGCCTATGGTATTTTTCTTTTTTACATTTTGACATATTTGTTTGTTTGTTTTTTTTTTTTTTTTTTTTTTTTTTTTTTTTT